TTATCATTCTTCCGAATTTAACGTGTTTTTTTTTGGGAAAAAAATCGTCATTTCTTTTTTCTCATTATTACTTATACACCTGGTACATACATACATGTGTGCGTGCGTGCGTGCGTGCGTGCGTGCGTGCGTGCGTGCGTGCGTGCGTGCGTGCGTGGAGCTGTTCAACATATTTAAAATAATTACGAAAGATTTAGGATATTTCATGTATTTAAGATTTATATATAAATATCTTGCATGCTTTTTGATACCGTACTTAATTTATGTTCAATTATATGATATAGTTATATATCCAAAGAAGATAATCAATTGTCAAAATGTAATGTTCAGACAGAGCCAGAACTTCCACGTTTATCGACAGAAGCCGTTGTTCCATCTTTTCTTTCTGTAAATGGAACTGTACATGAAATTGTACAAGACCTGACACTATCGTCAGACAAAGCATTACAAATACTGGCAATTCAAGTTTATAGCAAATTATTTAATTATTCGAAAACAAATTCTTCTGATATCTTAGAAAGTGACATATTAGCACGTTGTATTGAACTCTTAGATAACGACAAGTATGTATATGAAAACTGTAAAAATAATTTATCTATTTAAATAAAATGTTTCTTCGTATATTGTGCAATGATAAATATAATATTTAAGATATAAGGTATAATTTTTTTATTTTTATTTAGTTTTGTCTTGCAACTTGAATTAATATCCTTGTTAACTGCTGTAATTTTGAATACATTTTCCAAAGAAGCGCAATATGTTATAAAAAATGGAATAATAACAAAATTGGTGAAGCTATTTAAGTCTGCATCATCTAATGTTGTGGAACAAGCAGTGCATGCTTTAGGAATTATAATCAAAGATAGACCATATGCACGTGATCTTGCTCTTGAACAAAATGTTCTACCTTCTTTGGTCGACTTAATTAAACTTGATATCTCAGTAAGTAACTGCATTTAATAATATTCTTTAATTACATTATCTTATTTTTATATTGTCATTATCTTCAAAAACAACATTTTTTCCGTTTATTTATGAATGAAATTCGCATACTGAACAACAATAAATGTAATAAATAATTGCTAATTTTTTGTAAGAGCGACTAAATTTTTAAAAGAAAAATTATATTCATATAATTTTTTTTGTTAATAATAGCACTAAATCAATTTTATAATTTTATATTTTTCTCTTCTATGCAAGAAACTGAAGATACTCAAATTATGCCAATATTGGTTTAAAACATTTAGGTAGAAATATTTTTCATTCTGTTTATTTAATAAAGTTATAACTAATTTAACAAATAAACTTAAGTAGTGCTTAAAAGAGAAAATTGTATATTACACGGAAAAAATATAGCTCTGCTTTGATAAAATAGGCTTTTTAACACTGCAAAGTAAATAATAATTCGATAAATATATAAAATTATATAGAAAGAAAGTATATAGAATTATTCATTGTAAAAAGTGAATACTAAACACTTTAAAAGATTTTAAAAGGTTCTTTATACAAGTTTAAGCTGAAAATTTCGTACAACGTATATATCCGAAATGGTTAGTTTCAAAGATACTGATTGTTAAAGTTTTTGAAAAAAAAAACTTTGAAAACCATTTGAATTATTTTGCAGTTTTAAACATATAGAGTTTCATTAAAATAACTCGAGTGCTTTTTGAAATTTTTAAGTAAAACAAAATTTTTTTTTTTTATTTTAATTATCCTGTATCTTTAAAATCAAGTCGTTTCAAATATGAAGTTTTCGTCTTGAATTTGTGTGAGAAATCACTACTTAAAATCTTTTAGAGTGATTAGTACCAACCCTGTATATTGAAAAACTATTTCTTCTATAATTATTGTAATAAATAATAAATATTTCAATATTCAATGATCTCAAATATTAAATATACTATTCGTATGAGAGTAATTATTTATTATTTAAATTACAATATATAGTTTTTATAAATAAGTCTCTCTCTCTCTCTCTCTCTCTCTCTCCTCTCGATAATCATTTATTTTATCTGATATCAAGTCGAGATCATAGTTCTTTTTGTTCTATTAGATCAGATATATGGAATATATTCATATTGAAATGAAATATTTTTTGAATTATTTTCTTATTTTCTTTTTTTATTAGCATCTGCTAACAAAATTAGCTTTTACATTATGTGCTTTTAAGAAAATGCTCTGAAGTATGGAACAATGATAATGATATTTTGCAAGCGGTTAGCACAAAAACTAGCAAGACAAATTTAACTTTTATATTAAGTAGAATTTTAAAACTATGTTTGTTTTAATAAATAGACGATATTTCAATACTTTTCTAATACTGATTTTCTAAAACGATGCAGACAGGATTTATGTGCAACATTGTAAGGACTTTAACTTATTTATGTAAAAAATCGGACTCGGCTTTATCTTTTGAATTGATTAGACCTGTTTTACCAATACTTAATTACCTGTTCAATAACGGAAATCAAGATTGTGTTGATCAAGAATTACGTTGTAAGAAATTCATGTTTTATTATTTTATATATTGTAATTTATTTTAAGGTATTTATTATGAATTTTGTATGTTGCTGTTTGTTTCAGCCAATATTTGCAAGATACTCTCTTACATCACCTATAAATCCAACCATAACATACAAGCAGTATTGAAAACTGGTATTCTATTGAAAATTTTAGAATGTCTGACGTCGAAGGAGGAAAGTATTCTTATTCCAGCGTTGCGAACAATTAAAAATGCAGTAGGAATGGATGAGGCGAATGAATCGGATGTTTTAATTTTAGCGGATTATTTGCCGCATTTTTGTTCCTTGTTGCGAAATCATCATGCCAATCATCATGAAGATATTACAAAGGAAATTGTTTTGATTATCTTTGGAATGATTAAAAACATGAACCAAATTCAAAATGTGTTAGATGCTGGTCTATTACCACCAATGATAGAAATATTTATGTTTGTAAGTATGTTTGCGTAAACCCAAAATAACCTGCTGAATATCTATTCTAACTATTTTTGAACTCAACTGGATAGAAATACGAAATTCTTTTCATTATGTTGTATTTAAATATATTCATGTCTATTATTTTTTGATTAAAAAATCAGGAGCGCGAATTTATAAACGTCGAAATGAATTAATTTTAATTCATTTCAATACATTCTTTTTTATTGTACTGAGGGTATAAATCAGAAATAAATAAAAAGTCTCTGAGAATTGATGCTAGTTATTGTTGAATAAAAATTTATTATTAATTGTAACTGATAATAATAAATTCATATTCGCAACAATAACTAGCGTTGGCTCTCAGAGGCTTTTTATTTATTTTTGATTTATGTCATTAGAACCTACGCAACTTTGAGATTGTTAGTACTGTGTTGTACACAAGCACACACACGCACACACACACACACGCACACACACACACACACACACACACACACACACACACACACACACACACACACACACACACACACACACACACACAATAATATATATGCATATTTATTTATAGGGAAAAGGAATGGTTCAAAAGATAACTGGATGGATCTTAATGTATTTAATCTCGTGTGCAACAAGTCAACAACTGACCGAATTAATAAATGCTGATATACTGTTAGCTTTTTGTAGTTTATTGGGAACGAACAATTATGAGCATATTATTAATGGTTTAAATGGTCTAAATAATATCTGGGATGTTGCAGAGAAAGTAAAACAAAGAGAAAAACTTGTCACTATAATCAAAAAAGCTGGAGGATTAGATAAACTGAAAGCTCTTCAATATCATGGAAATGAAATAATTTATGAAAAATCTATGGTTATAATTAGCTCATTATTTTCTTAACAAGTTTATATACTTATTTTATGTGTGTAAATTGAGAACTATTTACATTAAAAGTTCTTATTTCTTTTCATAAATATTTTATCTAAATAAGCAAAATATTTTAAATGGAATCATAATTTTTAATAACTTCATAATTTTTAATAACTTCATTAAATTAAATAATAAAACTAATTACACATTATCAATATAATAAACTAAAATAAACTAAATTAAAATTTAATAAACAGACTATTTTTAAGATATTGAAAAATTTCTCCTGAATTTAAAGAGATTTTTTTTATTGAATTTAACAGATTGAATAATGGACTGATTAAAAAATTTAATTTCTTGATGTATTTATTTTTGAATTCGAACTGAAAGACTATTATACTTAAGAGATCAATCAATATGAGACTTGATTATTATTTTGTAATAATAACTACTTACAAAAAGAATTAGAATAGATATCGACTAATCAAATTATAGAAAAATTGCGTGACAAAAAATATTCGCTAAAAAGCATTTACATTTAATCAAATATAAATATAATTATACGCAGTGTCCCAATAATTTATTACAAGGCAATATCATTACAGTTAGTGATATGCGGAAATGCCCTAGGAATAAATTGTTCGAAGAAATACATGAAGGGAATATTGTGATGGGAATTATTTTTTTCTCAATGTCATATTTTTAGTTATTTCTAAGTTATCGATTTTTTACCTTCATGTGATCTTAAGTATATACAAAAAATTCAAAAATTTTGAGAATGGATGCAAATAATGAAATAAGTACAACAGAAAGGAAAATTTATTATAATAAGAGAGAATTAAAAATAACATCCGTTTATCTTGTGCAATGCATTGAATATTTTATATGCAAATAGATGAATAGGAAGAGGAAGTCTTACTCCTTTACTGCTACGTTGTTCTTGATATTAATCCGCTAGATTTTTTTCATTAACGGGAGGTATTGTTTGTAACAAAGTTATTGAGACCCTGTATATAAAATATGTGTTTATATGTTTTCTTTTTCTTTTATAATCTTTGTCCATATGTATAAAAAATAATAAAAAGAATAATTAAAGAATGACTAGAAAAGTAACTTTTACACCTTTCAAAAATATGATCACATTATATAACATTTTATAGGATGAGTCCCGAACCGCTGAAACATCTCGAAAATGAAACATTTTTGGAAAAATAATTCAAAAGATTCTAAAAAGATCTATTTATTGATCATATCTTTGGCCTTGGATGGCAAAATCAGGTTATCAACACTCTATTTTTGATTCCAGGATTTAATAACTGACGTCAAAAGCTTTTCAAAACATTACAATAAAGTTCATTTTCATTAAGTACTTTTCGAGTTATAAGAATGGAAAGTTACGATACGCCATCATTAGTATTATCCAAAGTCGTTCAACCGATGATTAAAACCATTTGAATATAATTGTTCAGAGTCATGCTCTGGATAATATTTGTTAAGATAAAAGCTTGATTAAGATTGGAGATCATTTTTTTTTATTTTCATTATTGCACTAAAAATTCATTTTTATGTAAAAATAAAAATAAGAGGAACAATCTTCATTGACTTTGATCTTAACAAATATCCAAGTCATAATCTTGAACAACATTCAAGAGATTTTAGTCGGTCAAACATCTTGGATAATGCGACAATACTGTAAATTTTAAACTTTAAAAGTATTTAATGAAAAAATAATTTATTATAATGTTCTAAAAAACTCTCGAGATAAGATAGAAAAATATGTAATAAAAAATTGGGAGTTCTCAACAAACACAAAGTAATATGTAACGTACTCATTAGTTGTAATTTTCCACTCAACAATATTATAATGTAACATACATATTATATTGTTGAGTGGGAAATTACAACTAACAGGTGTTACTTACTTTGTGTTTGCTGGAGAACTTCTAATTTTTCATTATAATCCATATTTTTCAACAAAGAATCGAAGAATTAGTATATCGAATATGAAGCAGCCAAAATTAATGAAGTTAAATCTACATCTTTAGTTGTTGCCGAACAAACAGTTTGTGTATTAAGAAATATAATTGATATTTCCTACGTGACCTTGCTCTTCAATATGACACTATATCTCTTAGTTAATTTAATTAAGTCTGATACTTCAGTAAGTGACATTTTATTTAAAAATATTCTTTAATCACATATTTATCACATGCTTGCTTTTTTATTGTCAGTACTCATAAACAACATTTTTGTTCGTTTGTTTAAAAAATGATATTTGTAATCAAAGTAATAAGTATGACAAAAAATTTTTAAAAGAAATTTAGTAATAATTAATTATTATATGTGTAATACTAACAATAAATAATCTTTATAATATTATAATATTTTCCTTCAGTTATGGTTATGCACATAACAAGAAATTAGAAATTACTTGCTTTAAATATTAATACAAAATAATACACACAAATTTCGATATGGCTGCATTGACTATAATTATCATGATAACAAGAGAAACAGTTCAACAATTTACTCAGTTTGTGGAAGCTGGTATATTGAGAATTCTTTGTTCTTTACTTCAATTTAGCGATAATAACGATATTATTAATCCCATAATTGGTAATATTAATAAAAATATCCGTTTTCTCTGAATACATGTAAAATTATCAAAGATGTTTCTTCGGATATCTTTTGTGTATTTAACATTTATATACATTGCTCAAAAAAAATTATGACGTAGAAAATTGTGGATAAAAATAGGCCAATTTTGAACGATAATTTTGTTCTTTTTTTTTTAATTAAAGGGAAGAGTTCGAACTTTATACCGCCCCTGCAAACAGCATTCCACAAAAAAATTTTATAAAGTCTGTACATTCCGTCAAATTATACAACTTTCAATATACACACCCTCATATCTTTAAATGTTCAATGGCAGAGGTAAATATCAAGGTATCAAACTTAAAATATGGTCATACCGTCTTAAAGTAGAAATTTCAAGCTTTGATTTGAAAAAAAATATATTATCCTATAATAATTTTTCGCAAAATTATCCTTAGTCAAAAAAATTATCGTTGGTCAATTTTTGTTCATAATTTTGCCATAATTTTTTTTTAGCAGAGTTTAAACACTTTGCATACTTTTTAATATCATAATTTATATTCAATTATGTGATATAGTTATGTAGTATATCATAAAAGATAATCAACTGTCAAAACATAATGTTGGGACACAGAACTTTCAAGTTTATCGACAGAAGCTATTATTCCATTCACTCGTACTTCTTCTGCATCTCAAGATGAAATTCCTCAATATGAAATTGAACAACAAGAATATTCTGGGTATTCTCATATGACGAAGCATTGCAAATAATGGTATCTCAGATTTATAGTAAATTTTTTAGTTCAGCAATAAAGCCTGTTATAAAGCTTGTTTTAGAAAGTAAGACATTATCACATTGTATGGAGATCTTAGATAGGGGCAGGTATGTATATGAAAATTAAAAAAATAATTTATCTATTTAAATGAATTGTTTCTTCATGTATTTTTGATAGATATTTTAATATAAGAAATAATTTTTTTTATTTTTCTTCAATCCTACCTTGCAATTTGAAGTACTATCTTTGTTTACTGCTTTAATCACGGGTACATTTTCCGAAGAAGTGTAGTATATTATAGAATATTATATGTAGTATATTATAGAACATGACACAATACCAAAAATAATGAAGCTACTTAAGTCTGCATCGTTTAATATTGCGAAATGTACTTGTTTTAGAGGCTATGCCAATGTTACACATAGTTGATAATATAGTAGGAATAGATGAGGTGACTGAATCGGATATTTTAATTTTAGTAGAACAATTGCCGTATTTACGTGCCTTGTTGCGGAATCATCGCGCCATGAGCATATTGCAGAGAAAATTGTTGTGATAATCTTTAAAAATGATTACTAATCCGAATCAAATCTAAAATGTATTAAATGCTGGTCTCTTATCATTATAGATAGAAATACTTGAGTTTGTAAATATGTTAATGCAAACATGAATAATCAGCTAAAATCTGATGTAAATATTTCAGTAATTGAGCGAGAAATGACTCATCAAATTGATTTAGCGTCGAAGTAATGATGTTGAATTGACAGTCATTTTTCACTTAGATATAAGATTTTTTTGTATATATTGTAGATATATATATATATATA